ACAAGCGAGCTGGGAGAGATCTGCTGTGGTTGCTGCTTCTGCTTCTGCTTCAATACCGGATACTGGGATAGAAGCTGAGACGCTGTTTGCTGTGGCGTCGGCCTCGCTTCCACTGGTACTCACGGTGCTCATCTTGAAGGCAAGTCAAAGAAAAAATAGAGATGAAGTTGCTCTAAAAGGCAAAAGCAAAAGCAAAAAGCAAGGCGTAAAAGCAAAAAGCAAGAGCAAGAGCAATAAAAAAAAACGGGAAATTAGTGGAGATAACAACAAAGCCTTTGGAGAAGATACGCAACGTTTGCAGCTAGAGTGGAGTGCTTAAAGTAGACTGTTGTTACTACCTGATCATTCTGACAGAGATTAAGTATTGACCGAAGAGCATGAGTCAGTGCAGATGAACCATTTGTCAGCACTCTGCCATCAAATTGTAAGAATGGCTCCGATGAGGCGTCTTTGTCGAACCCGATTGTCGAATGTTCACCACTTGATAAATGGCGTCGTATTGCTGAATAAAGTGATTGATAGTTCCGATTGTCAAGCTGTTCAATCAGGTGTGCATCTTTTTCAGGAATCATGTTTGATGTGTGCATTGCGGGTATCGTTAAACTCAAACTCAATGTGCTGTCGTTCGGTATCTGCGTGGAGACTGTTGATGGGTGTTTCTTAATAACTTCACGCAGTTCTAACAGTACTGCCATGACCATCAGAGCCTGAACATGGTCAGCCATGTCATCTCTGAAGTAAACGTTTGATCCCCATCCACGAAATACCGGCGATGGCTGCATTGCAAATTCGTGAACAACTGCCTTTCGACACTGCAGATATTGAGCTAGTCCAGGTCGTTTCCAAGCAAAATTCGACGGAAGAAGTGCATCTGGTACTGCCGCTGTCGTTGCATTGAGTGGTTGCTTTCGCTTTGGTCGTTCTGCCACTGAGGCTGTGGACGTTGCTGTGGATGTTGCTGTGGCGGCTTTCATAGTTTCCAGGTGAGGGTCGTGGACGCGCACGAATCGTATCATGAGTCCAATGGGCAGCAGCTGCTGAGAGAACTGACACAAACGAGGTGTGCCTGTAATTAGCAGCCAGGCTGGTGGTAGCGGCGTCATCTTGATCAGATCTACTGTTGCTACTATTGCTGCTTTTACTGTTGCTGCTTTTTGTTTTGTTTTTCCTTTGAAGCGAAATCCGCGCTAATAATAAAATACAATCCACAATGCTGGGCTACTTTTGCATCAATTTGACACTCACTTCATCTACTAAAGTATGATTAACGTTCTGAGTTAAAGTATACGGGTCAATCAATTAAAAAGAAAATATTAATAGTTAAAAATGAACAAGACAGAATAAAAAAAAAAACAAGACAAGCTAATTGTGATTAGAAGCTCCAGAAATGAACTTTAGCAAACCAGCGGATGGTGAAATTCCATTGCCAGTTTGTGATGCTGCAGCAGTTGGTGTTACCTGGGGAGGTGTTGCAGAGGGTGCTGGTGGCTTCGAAGTTGAAGTTGAGGCTGAAGCTGCAGCCAGAATAGCAGACAAATTAAAGGAAGCTGCTGGCTGGGATGTACTTTGTGCATTGTCCGTGGGTTTGGCAGATATTTTGGCCAGCAGCTCTGAAAGACCAGAGGAGATGGCAAGTGGAGCTGGAGCTGGAACTGGAACAGGAGCTGGAACTGAGGCTGGCTGCATTAGCATCGGAGGAGTCGTTCTTTGTGCAGGTGGCGGTATCGGCATCGGTGGCAGAGGAGCTGGAGGAGGGGCAGGCCGCGATATAGCTGACTGCCTTGTTGAAGCGTGGGGATCCTTGCCTTCTTTAAAAACAATAAGAAGAGCAAAGAGCAAATCTGTTCGAGCACGTTGTTGAACATGATCGTAATAGCCATGGTCCAAATGCACACCACCTTTGTCGCCCAGCATGTACTCAAAAATGTCCGGAAGTGGCTCTCCGCTGCGCACTGGCACAAGGTAAAAATCATGGACATAGTTGTTGCGCAGCTTAACGACGCCCCATCTCTGCTTTGACCGCAAATGATCAACCACGCTGGAAATACCAATGTCTGATGGCTCGACAGGAGTATCAGGTGACACAGGTTGGCTGCTAGAGTCTGATGACGATGCCAATATTGACGGAGGCACTGTGAGCAGAGCCAAAGCCACTTCTCTCGTAGTGGATGGCCGCATTGGACGCAGATACTTTTCACAGTCTGTGACAGGGATACGACCATCAACCAAGATGCACGGTGGGATAAAAATCTTCCCAAGGGACACCATTACCGAGGAACTGGTGCCGACCAAAGGGACGAGCGAATCCAAACTACGACCGCCGACACTGACGAGCTGAGTTGGGAAGTGAGATACAAGTGGGAAATCAAACTCGCCAGCCCAGGATGGGATCTCTTCCTGAATCGGAGGCGGCGTAAGAGGCGGTGGCAGATACATGTCATCATCGTCGTGAGCAGCGCCATGCCCAGTTCCGAGGTCATCAGTGCCATCGTGCTCTTCATCAGCAATCTCAGCCGTGGCGCCATCTTGGTTATCTTGAGTGCCAGAGCCGTCAGTTTCAATCGGAGCAGCCTCGGCAACAATGGCGCTCAATGCACGCAGAGCATCTGCGGTCTGGTCTGCCATTGCTGCGCTTGGCACAGCATTGGTCGATGAGCTTGCCAGCATCTCCACTGCCTGGTGGCCCAGCTGTTCAGCCTTTGCCTTGGCATCGCCATCAACGCGCTTCTTGACTGTTTGGAGCAGACTCTTTTCGCGGACATCCTCGGCCAACCGCTTCAGCTCGTCGTTGGCAAGCTCTTCGTTGGACATGGCCACAAACTGTGCAGGTTTCAAATCACCCTTAAGCAGTGCCTCGCGAATGCGCGCATTCCCCGCATCCTTGAGATTGTACAGTAACGAGCGTGATTTGCTCTTGTACAATGGGCTAACCTGATGTCCATTCTTTGAGGCTGAAGCTACAGGACGACCATCGTGGCCAAAAGCCTCGAATATTGCAGCTTCAATTGCGCTGGCTAGTCTGCGCACAGCTACGTCGCGGGCATCGTCCGACGGATGCAGTGTCTTGGCAGAAGCATCGTTGATCAGAGCATCGAAGAATCCATTGCAAGCCAGGTTGCGCACAGCTGTCGCAGATGTCGCCACAGGAGCTCGACTTGCTCCAATCTTGCTGCTGCTACCGTTACTACTGTTACTGCTGTTGCTGATTTTGGAACCTGCTACGGATGGCACGGCACTCTTGCCTGGCGCTGCCGGACTCTGTCCCGCTGCCCGTGACCGAGCTGTAGCCACATTGCCAATCTTGGCTGATGCTTGAGAGCCATTCGGTGAGTTTGATGCGGGTGTGACTTTGGCGCCAGATGAAGCTTTGCGGATCTTCAAAGGCGGCTGTCCATCGCTATCAGCAGTGCTCGTCGAACGGCGAGAAGCGCTCACTCCTTCTACAACTTCGGTGGTCGACGATTGAGCATCAAGGGAAGCTCGCTTTCTGTTTTTAAGTTCAGCAGAAGTGGTTGTGCTTTGAGCATGATTAATAGCTGTTCCAGTGTTAGTGGGATCTCCAGAAGATGCCGCGACAACAGCAGCAGTATTAGCAATAGAAGCAGTATTAGTAGCAGCAGCAGCAGCGGTGGTGATATTGGCTGGCACAATGGCTGGAGAGTCTGATGGCTGAGAGGCAGAGCCAGTCTGCCGCTGGTGCTTCTTAGTTGAAGCTGTGCGAGCACCTTTCGATGTTGCGGTCGATGTTGATGTCGATGCTGACGTAGTGGTGGCCTTAGCAGCGGATGCACGGCAAGAAGGACATTTCCAAGGTCTGTTGGCAGGAGGAGCACGTCGAAGTTTAACGCAGCTGAAATGGAACCATTCCTGACACTCCTCGCACTGGACCATTGGGGTTCCATCATCTGATTTGCGACAAATACAGTAAACGGCATTAGCATCCTCTTCAACCTCCTCCATCTTCTCACTATTGCTCGAGCCAGCTACAGGAGCCTTTTCAATCTGCATTGCCTCAGTGCCGTTCGACACGGTTGCAATTGGCTCCACAGATTCCAAACGAGCAGCAGCAGCAGCAACAGCAGCAGCAGCCGTCGCAGCAGATTCGATTGAAGTACTAAAAGTCGGCAGATCCAATCCAGCCAGGAGCGACTCTGGATTAAGATTGTTGATAAATGATACGTTGTTGGCAAGGTCGGCTGGCAAGAGTTCGCTACTGTTGCTGCTGCTCGCGTTGTTGCTGCCGCTGTCGTTGCTGTTGTTGTCAAGATTGAGAGATGCCGTGTTTACAACATCGACGGCAACAGCCCCGGCGTCAGTCGCAGGCAGCAAAGACTCCAAGAAGCTGGGATCGTCGAGCAAATCGAGATTCAGGTTGACAAAGTCTATATTTTCCTGCTCCATTTTTTTTTATTGTTTGAAAATGTAGAGAGATGCGGAAGCTGAACATTACCCAAGTGTAACGTCATTGATTTCGCTGGCCGCATTGACATTGCACAGAACGTCGGCATCATTTATGTGCTCCCCTCCCCAAGAGCGGGGTCGCGTTCCAGCTTCAGCAAGCAACATCATGCTTCCAGTACCATATGTACCGAGTGTTGCTGGCTACTTTTAAGCCGAGTGTCGAAAACGAACAAGAATGTAGGATGGTCGTGGCTGCTGTAGTGGTCTGTATTGATGATTCGACCGCCACAGATAGTGCTGTTACCGCTGCTACTTTACCTTGATTCAGGACTACCAGACAGTCTACGATTCACCTCACACATCGGCTCATTCTCCTCCCCCCCCTCCGATAACATTGTTGCTTGACATTCCAGTTGAGGCAATACACTTTATGCTTTAGTGTACTCCCTTTTCTTTTTTCCCTTTCCTGTCCTCTATATATGTCAGAATGGAGATTGGACTCAGATTTGCCTGGAAACAGGGGGAAACACAGTAATGTGGCAATATGTCTGCTCATGTAACTGGTTGCATTCTCTTCCATTTAACTGGAATCATCGAAAGGTGTTGTGGCCGAGTGGTCCAAGGCGCTACGTTCAGGTCGTAGTCTGTGTATGCAGGCGTGGGTTCGAACCCCACCGACACCACACTTTTTATTTGTTGATCCCATGGCACTGGCTGTCATCTATGTTTTTGCTACAATGCTCTCTTCTCTCTCGCTCTCTCAACCACTCAAAAAAGAAACAATGCCTGATATTGACCACCTCATACTTGTTCCGGGTCACGCAATCTACACTGGAGGCACGCTCGACAGTCTCGACTCGTGGATCCTTGAACCATACCAGCGAAGTGAGGCAGACATCTCGAGTTACGTAGAGCATGTTCGACAGGCACTCAGTCTGGCCACGGAATTGAATTCCAACAGGCGAGCAGGCCTCGTTGTGTTTAGCGGAGGTGCTACTCGCCGTTTAGAGAAGACAGAACAGCCATTGACAGAGGCACGATCGTATCTTGACATTGCTCGTTCACTTGATATCCCAGAATTCGCGGATGAAGTCAACCGTATTGTACTTGAGGAACATGCACGAGACTCATTCGAAAATGTATTGTTTGGCATCTGTCGATTTCGTGAGGCAACAGGCAGGTATCCACAGAAGATCGCAGTGGTGGGCTTCTCGTTCAAACGCCGTCGCTTTGTCGAGTTGCATCGTCAAGCTTTGGCCATTCCATGCAATGCTTTTACTTACATTGGATCTGAATCACCAACATTTGTCGTGGATGAAGGGATTCGCAAAGCTGAGGCTGCTACAGCAGAGCGTTTCTCAAAGCATCCATTTGGAGCAGGTGATGAATCGCTAGAGGCCAAGCGATACGCAAGGAATCCATACAATCAACACCATAACTACCGCTCAACTTGTCCAGAGCTCGCAAGTGTGCTTGATGCAGCCGATAGCCTGGCTGCCCTTAAAGAAAGCGACTTGCAAAACCTACCCTGGAACAGTCTTTGAAAAAAATAAATAATCAAACGAGTTGTTTGCTTTTAATACTTTGCATTGATAGAATGCGAGTCGTTACGAATAGGAGTGTATGGTAAGTCAAGCATGTTTGCCACCGTCTCCAAACGATCGGATCCCCAGATCAGCGTCTCATTGAGGCCGGGACCATCTGTGCTAACGAGCAATGATGGTGCGCCAAATCCATTGAATTTCTCCAGCAACTCGGACGAATTCGTGCGCAAAGAGTTCAAGGTATCGACATCGTTCTGCGCCGCATTGACAACATCAGCGACTGAAGCACCATCCGAGAATGATGTGATTCCAGCACGCTCCAATGCAGCAACCACCGTGTCTACACTGTCCGGAACTTGGCGTACACGGCGACCCGACCCATCGGCTGCAGCCACGTCGGTCCACGCTGCTCGCATCACGGCAAGCGTGGCCGCTGCCATCTCCGAATCCAAGCTGTCATTGCCATATCGGCGCGAAATTGCAGTGAGAGCCAACAGTGCCGACTTGCTATTGAACGGGAATGGGTCCGGAATGCTATCCCACGGGAAGCCAGCGAGCTTGCTAGTGCGAGCAATGTCCTCACGCATATACTTGCTCTTGTGAGGAACGTCGCTTGGTCTGGAGTTTCCGCACTTTTTGAACACGTAGTGAACTTGGAAGGGCACAAGCTCAACACGGACGGCAGTTGAAGATGAGCGAGCCCACTCACGAGTCTGACGTCTCAGCAACTCGAGACCAACATACGAGTAGAATGACGGCACATCAAAGAAGAAACGAATACTGCGCTGCATACTGCAATCAACAAACACAATCAAATTTAATGATAATAGTGATAATAGTAATAAAAAAAATAGTAATAATGCAAGAGTAAAGAATAAAGGGGTGGTAGCGGTTTGTTTTGCTCTGTTTTGCTTTGTTTTGCTTTGCTTTGTGTGTGAATGGTGAGGGTGATTACATGAGGAAGTAGGGCCGTTATTATGATACGGTCTGTGCAACGGCTTTTGTCAGCTGACTAACGGTGCGTGACAGGACCCCACGTGATCGATTCATTCCGGCTCTGTTATCTCCGAGATTCTTCGCATCCCTTGCTGCATGCTGCTGAACAGACTGAATGAGCTGTTTCACCTGTTTGCTGCTGAACTGAGATGGATTGTCACACTCGAGCTGGAGCTGCTGTACAAGGTCAGATACTGTCAATGAGCTGTAGTTCCCATCAGCGATGTTTACTGTGAAGCTGGCTGTGAGTTTGGCGCACCGTGCAGAAACGGGGAGATAGACATGAGCCGACATATGGAACGATGCTGGTGAATGAGCCGAACTGATCACGAATTGGCAGAGCTCGCGTGCACGCATCACATCGCGCACAAGAGCCTCCGCACTGCGCCACAATGTCAATGCCTGGACTGTGGAGGATTGCAACAGATTGGTCAAAAGCGGGTGAATACCATCAAAGACCAACTGGATATCATCCTGGGCCTGCTGTGGGAACTCGTGAAGAAGAGACTTGTCCAAGGTCAATTGTGCAACAGACGAGTCAGAGTTGAAATGAGCCTGGACTTTACACATACTTCCAAAGGTTAGTGAGTCGATGGCTGAATTGTCTGATAGTGATAATGAAGTACCAGATAGCGATGAAAAGAGCAATTGACGAGTGTCCAAGTCATTCACTTCAGCAGTTGTAGTGATGTGCGTATCTTCAATTGCATGTTCAGCCTCGTTAATTGATGTCTTCAGTGAGTTGACTTGCCCATTCAAGTCATTCAATCTAGCTGTGATTAACGACTGACGCCCGCTGTGTTCTGCAATCTGTTGTTTGTATCCACTGATGACTGTATTAACATCCGCCAGCTCAGATTGTAATTCTTCTACATGCTCATGATCGCGTTGTCTCATTTCCACCAGCCGTGCACGCTTAGATTCAATTTCATTCATTAGATGTTGACGATGGGATGTCATTTGTGAGATTGAAGGTATGAGTCCATCGGTGTTGTTGTTGTTGTTGTTGCTGTTGCTGTTGTTGCTGTTGCTGTTGTTGCTGTTGCTGTTGCCACGAAGCTGCTGTTCAAGCGCATCTTGATCACTGTGTAACTTTTGAATAGATTGATCATAATTGGCAGAAACTTCACTTAGTTTTGAGTTTTGCCAAGTTAGCCATTCTAAGTCAGACTCTATTCTGCACTTGTAAGACAGGAATTTAAACATTGCAACATATTCATCTCGATTTCCTCGGGGTCCAGTTGGTTCATATTGCCAGCTAAGAACCGAATAAGGCACGTCAACTGCAAACTGCTCTTCCATTGCTGATATACTCTCCATACATTCATTAATTGTTTTCGATGCTAAAGTAGAAAGATCACAGAGTAGCATTGCCTCAGAGCTTGTGACTTGAGTAAATGCAGCCTGACCTGAAGCTTCCGCAGCAGGCGTTCCAACTGAGCGTCTCCGTGATGAATGAGGTTTATTGGTGCTGAGTCTAGCTTTCTTAATATGATCACGCGATGTTGTAATTGACTGAATATCTCTGAATTCAATGCTAACCATTTGAAGGAACTCGTTGAATGTGATTGGTCCAGGTGGAAGTTGAGGAGTGTCATCTCCTCCATCAAGCCAGCTAGCCTCTTCCTCTGGTTCATAAACAGCATCTTCACTTGGCAGCTCTTCTGCAGCTTGAACTGGTTGTACATTATCAGTGCTAGAGGCAGATGGCGTGTACGAAGGATGCTGATCAACTGTTGAAATTTCATTTGCAGATAAACCAGCGCCAAAGCAACGAGTCACGTTCATTGTAGCTGAGTCAACATCCATTGCATCACCATCTTCATCGTCTTCATCGTCTTCATCGTCATCAACAACACCATTAATTCTACCATCTTCATTAATAGCCAAGTGTTCATTATCATTATTATTATTATTATCCATGTCCATGTCCATGTCCATGTCGGCATCTTCTAGTTGAGCTGGCTGCTGCTGCTGCTGCTGCTGCTGCGGTTGCCGCTGTTGAAGCAGTGGAGGGAGTGGGTGTCTAAGTGATTGCTGAGATGAATGTACATCTCTGACTGTAGCAATTCCACCAACACAGCCAGTTATGTCCATAGCCATGTCAGTCTCTGAGCCAGTGTCAATCATACCAGTGAATGATGATTCAATTGGCTCTGACTCAAATTCAAACTCAGATTCACTGTGCTGATACTGAAGCTGAGGTTGGTTCTGCTGCTGATCACTTTTAACGTGAGAGGACTGTAGTGGAGCGACAGGCGCGGTAATGTCCATAATGTCACTTTCACCAAATGATGGCTGCTCATTGCGAATATCATCCAGAGTAGCAATGTTATCAACTTCATCAACATTGGCAGCATCATCAACATGACCATCAACATCGTTAGCATCGTCAACATCGTCAACATTGTCCATATTGTCGTCGCTATCATCTGATTCGGTATCTGAGTTTGACATGTTAAAATGCACTGTAGATGTTGCTGAGGATGAAGAAGATGATGGCAGTGTGCGATGTGATTCTTGGTTCATAGTAAGCTTTTCAACCTGTGGAGAGTTTAATAATAAATCATCTGTCAAATCATCAAACTGTTGTTCCTGTTCCTGTTCCTGTTCTGGCTGTTGTTGCTGTTGATGTAAGTTATTTTGGGGCATATTATTAAACATTAATTGATCAATGGACATTGACATTTCTCTATTTGATGCAATGCTTTTAATGCTACTTCTTTTACTATCATTAGTACTAGTACAACCACTACCATTACTGCCATAATGCATATTATGAGATGATTCATCAAATGAACCTGCAAGCGATGCCTCAAAGCTTTGTCCAAATGAACTCATCATCGATATTCCAGTTATATCGCGTGTATCATCCAATTGGTCAAATCCACCGCTGCCACTACCACTATTAGTATTAACATTGTTAGGATTACTGATTGAATTCAGCGAGTTTGGATTAATGCTTGCGACCAATCTACGTCCAAAGGATAGATTTAAAGTCGATTCATCTTCAACATACCCTCCATTTCCTACTGTTGATAAGTTTGGAATCTCAAATAAATTATCTCCCTCTAATATACTTCCACGTGAACTAGATGAGCGGCGACGACTACTATTATTAATATTAGTATTGTTACTGTTAT